GGGCGGAGCCAGGGCGCAGGTCCAGGTGGACGAAGTAGGTCTTGGTGGCGGGGAAGGCCAGGAAGGTCCTGCAGGGGTTGCAGGGTGAGGCCTTGCTGGCGGGGTCGCACGCCCGCGGCGCGTGGGCGGGGGGCGCGCTGCCTGTCCTCACCTCTCCAGGGCCTCCGTGGCGTAGACGCCCACGTTGCCGCTCAGCTTCTTCCACAGCGCGCGCACCAACGCCTGATCCGCCGCGCGCAGCTGCATCCTGTCGCCCGGCCGCGCGCTCTGCTCTCGCCCTGCCCTGCGCGCGTGGGCGGCGGGTCCTGGGGCCTCTGGCGCGCTGCCTTACAGCCGCCCTCCCGGTCCCAGAACCGCACCCCGGGGGCCGGCCAGCGCTCCGCTCGGATCTTTCAAGCGCCCTGGGCCACCTTTGAGAGTTTACTATGGGGGGAGTAGTTAACACGTATTGTCAAGTAACACGGAATTTTAACATGAATTTTGGCCTTGGAAGTCAGTTTCCTCTGCCTCTGAATCTTGTGTGACGCCTCCCTGAGTCTATTTTATTATTTATTGTGTAAGATGAGGATGACAGCCTCTTCTTATGAGGGTTGTTGTGGGAATTAGGTGGATAGCAAATGTCAGGTGCCCGACTCACAGGTGCCCCTTCAGCACCATAAACGTTGCACCTAGGTTGTATCCCAGTGGAAACAAGAAGTCCCTAGGCAGCACTCACTCTGTGCTGTGACGTTCTTTACCCTTAAACACTTTTTTAGGATAAAATTCAGATACTATAAATTACCATTTTAGCCATTTAAAAAATGGTCCTGGGACTGCGAGGAAGGTGAGGGTTGAAAAAGTACCTTTTGGGTACAGTGTTCACTATTCAGGGCATGGGCATGGTGGAAGCCCAAACTTCACTTTTACACAGTATATCTATGTAGCAAACCTGCACTTGTACCCCCGGATCTATAAAAATTAAAAACGCCGGGCGTGGTGGCTCACGCCTATAATCCTAGCACTTTGGGAGGCTGAGGTAAGAGGATTGCTTGAGCCCATGGGTTCGAGACCTGCCTAGGCAACTTGGTGAGACCTCATTTCTACAATAAATAAATAAATAAAAAATTAACCGGGCATGGTGAGACACCTCCAGCTACTTGGAAAGCTGAGGTGAAAGGATCATCTGAGCCCAGCAGGTTGAGGCTGCAGTGGCCAGGAGCGTGCCATTGCCCTCCAGCCTGGGTGACAGAGTGAGACTCCAACTAAAAACAAAACAAAATAAAACAAGAAACTCAATTTGGCCAGGTTTTGTGGCTCAGCCTGTAATCCCAGTACTTTGGGAGGCGGAGGTGAGTGAATTGCCTGAGCCCATGGGTTCGAGACTAGCCTGGGCAACTTGGCAAGACCTCATCTCTACAATAAATCAAAATGATCCGGGCGTGGTAGCGCATGCCTGTAATTCCGGCTACTTGGAAGGCTGAGGCGGAAGGATCGCCGGAGCCCAGCAGGTCCAGGCTGCGGTGGCCGGGAGCGGCCACTGCACTTCAGTCTGGGCAAGAGTGAGACTCCAACTCAAAAGAAAGAAAGAAAGAAAGAAAAAGAAACCCAATTTGAACAAAAAAATTGTATGACTCAGTGACATTAAGTGCATTCACAATGTTGTACAACTGTCACCACTATTGAGTACATAATTTTTCATCATCTCAAACAGAAACTCTGTTCTCATTGCCAGTAACCTTCCAGTCAACCCCCCCCTTACAACTCATCTAATTTTGTCTCTAAGGATTTGCTTATTCTTAATATTTCATATAAATGGGATCATACACTATATAGCCTTTTGTGTCTGCTTCTTTCACTTCTCTTGTTTTCAAGGTCTGGTCACATCCAATCAGAACTTCATTTATTTCTATGGCTGAATGGTATTTTCTTGCATGTATAGACCACATTTTGTTTATCCACCCACCCACTGATGTACATCTTTTACAATTTTATTTTTCTTTAACCAAGTGAATCAGGGGGAGTGGAGGAGGAACACAACAATCTGTAACTAGTTGTGATAAATGAGTTGTAAACACCACCATAGTCCGACTAGCCCACTGATGTACACTTGATGTATTTCTACCTTCAGCTCAGGCCTCCATTTGTCCTAACAAAATAATGAAGTGCTTCAAAATAATAGCCTCTTCCTGACAGCTCATACAGTGCCACAGGTTGTGCTAAACTGAGGCAGAAGATAGTCTGAGGTCTGCAGTTGCACCACTCACCCTTTTTCATCTATACTGTGCAACTATTTGGGAGGCTTCATGGAGACTAGTTGGGGGCTGAGTCAGTGCCACTGTGAAGGAATGTGACCTCTGTGGCCTCCCCTCCACCTGCATCTAGGAGGAACCCTGGGAGAGCTGCCAGCTCCCAGCCTGATGCCAGGCTGTTCTTAGCACAAGTGTGTATGTGCATGTGCCCTGCAATGTAAAGATGGGGAATGACTTCATTTCAGCAAACTATTTCAGCAAACTACAAGTTGCAAGTCCCAGGAATGCTCTAGGCCCGGGGTTTTCAGGTGCACCCAGGCATGGATCTCGGAGTCTGAACTCCCCTCCTCTATCCTCCCCTCTTCACACCTGCCCTTTTCTGCCGTGCCCATCAGCAGAGCGGTCCTTGTGACCCCACACAGACATTGCATACCCCCAACCCTGGAACATCCCAGAGAAAACTGAGGCACACACAGGTTGCCACCCACTCAGACTTTATTGAGAGACCAGAAGGTGCGGGTGCAGGGAAGGGAGGAGGGCCCCGGGAGGCCACCCGGGCTCCAGCTTAACGGTATTTGGAGGTCAGCACGGTGCTCACAGAGGCCAGGAACTTGTCCAGGGAGGCATGCACGGCAGGGGTGAAGTCCGCAGGGTGGTGGCAGGCCAGGGTCACCAGCAGGCAGTGGCTCAGGAGCTGCAAGCAAGAAGCGTCAGGCGGCGTCGGGCGGCAACCGCCGCCGGCCCCAGCTTCGGGAACCGCCGGGCTCGCCCCTGGAGGAAGACCGCCCCCTCCAAGCCCCAGGCCCCGCCCCCGCTGCCGGCCGCCCCTGCTCACCTTGAAGTTGACCGGGTCCACCCGCAGCTTGTGCGCGTGCAGGTCACTCAGAGCGGACAGGGCGTTGGGCATGTCGTCCATGTGCCCTACGGCGGTGGTCAGCGCGTCGGCCACCTTCTTGCCGTGGCCTTTGACCTGGCTGGAGCCGTGGCTCAGGTCGAAGTGGGGGAAGTAGGTCTTGGTGGTGGGGAAGGACAGGAACATCCTGCGGCGGGAAGCGCAGTGTGAGAGGGGCTGGTCCAGGCCAGGACGGCAGGGGGTCGCCGGCGGGGCCGG